GACCTGTTTGATGTGAAGTTCAGGTACAGCTATAAATCAACATTATACTTTATGATCATTTTGAAAACATTTTAACAGCATGGAGTTTACAGCAATATCATAAACACCCTGAAAAAAAGTCACTCTGTGGTTGTTCAAATACAGGCTTGATCTAATCAGCAGAAGAGCAGTGACGTACCATGTGTTTCTCAACTAGTCGTGACAGATACTTTTCCCAAGAACCGCAAGATTTCGAAGGGAGATTTTTAATGCTCTAAAAAAAAAAAAAATTACACACAAGGATTCTGATTCTCAGAGCAGTCCAGACCATGCGGGCATCAGCTGTTGGTTCTGGGGGCGGTCACATGATCAGACCACTAGGCAGATACATTTATTGTTCAGATGACGAGTTAAGTAACCAGCAGTTTTCTTCCATGTAGATCATCTCCTGCAGAGGGGGCTGTTTCTCATAGCTCGATTCATAAAGAATGACTGTGGAAAAACACAAATCACAACAGGCAGGATGCATGTGCATATGATCCAGAGAAAAGACTAGCCATAAAGACCCTAATAAAGGAGCACGTTCATGTGTGTGTCTGTGTATAGAATATATATAGAAATATATGCATATATGTTTTATATGCATACATATACTTCAATGCTCATATACAGTAGTATTTATATGATATACAAAGTATATTGTATTTCCAATGTAGTTTGTGTATTTTGTATTTTGCACAAGAAAACATTACCATCCAGAAATATTCAAAACAAAGGTTAAAAAGGTAAATTCAACAAGAAAACATTACCATCCAGAAACATTCAAAACAAAGGTTAAAAAGGTAAATGCCCACAGGGGGCAGCCTTGCACAGAGGAACCATTTACTTCTAGGGCCTGATTAAAATATGGCGTATTATGGGATGTCTGTGTGCGTTTGTCTTTTTGCAGCACCGGGGATCAGCTCGAAATATTCATAGCTTCAAAGTCGTAGCCACACGCCAGAGCAGTTTTATTGCATTACTATTTCAGCCGTGCTACGCTACGTCCAAACGGAGTTTCCAACATTTACACACGATCATAAAAATACACACATGTCTGAAATAAGTTTGGGTGCAACTCCTTTTCTCTGTGGCCCAGCAGTAACAGCCTTTTTCAAACAGTGGTCGGCTTTGTTTTTCCACATGACAACTGAGGATGAATTGGCTTCAAGGAGCCGCACACAGAAACACTTTTCCACTCAGCACTGGCTGCCATTTGGTGCTTGTACAAAATCAGTGTATTGATACTTTGGTTTTCAGCGCTCACGGGTCACAGTGAAGTATCTTGGAGGTGTTTTTCAATAGTAATCGTAGCGTTTAACAAACCAAATACTCTGATCCGCTCTGAGCTTCTCGGTCACTGTTTTTATGACTATGACACTACATCTGTTGAATGATCTACATTTGGAAGAGATTTGACTCATTTGTTCCTCTGACCTTGTCCTCTTCACAGCGAGATCAGCCAGCGCTCGGGTGAAAAGAACAGAAAAAGATGGCTGTGGCGTCACCAGTCCCAGTGAGTACACGCCGTCACTGTGATTTTACACATGTCACTCTGTTGGTGCTGTGTATTAATGTACAGTATTTATGTCAGTCCACGTCAGTCTTTTACATCTTTGGAAGCGTCTTTCTCTTCCTGTTCAGTTTTATGGGCTGACTCTCAGTGTGAGTTATGACCTAAGTCTGGGTGAATGACCTTCAGCACGAGGTGAGGTCACAGTGAAGGCGGGGCAGGACGCCCGTTCTGTCCACATACTAGAAGATAAAGAGCAGATGATTGTGGTTTATAACCCAGCTGTCAAACAAAATCCAAGTTTTCTTTGCTTTTTAAAAACAATTAGTTATAGATTAGTCATGATTAAACATGGTTAATTGCGATTAATCATGTTTAATTTATTCATTCATTTATTATTTAGATGTTTGTGTTCCCTGTGTTCATTTTAATTTATTGTCACGCAGTCAGTGGAATTGAGTCATTCCTGCAGCTTGACAGTGACTCGTAGAACACGCGGAGAGTTCCTTTTCTCCAACAACAATAATCAGTCTTCTACCTAAATGATGGAGACACATTAGTGATGACTTTAATACCAACACAGCGGTGTGAAATACTGGCACCATCACTTCACAGCAGGTACATTAAAGACCACGTCCAGCACTGTCAGATTTATTACGTAGCAAATGTTAAAAAATAAGTTAAAATAACACATACGCTGTATGACGGTTATGAAATGATTAGGAGAACTTCAACGTTTTGTGCCGTTTCCGTGACGCTCCTTACGGCAAATGTTATTGGGTGGCCTTTTCTAACACACTTTTCGTACGCGTTGTACCCTCTTACCTCATGTTTACTTACCCACACAAACATACTTGCTTTTATGTATTTATATTTTTTCATGTTTCCTGTTGTTTGTTTTTTTTCCACAATGGTAAAGACAAAAAGTGATGACATTTATGTCAACATCACTACGCTCGAGCCATTTTTGGTCATTTTTTTGCAGATGTGTGCAAAAAAAAACCACTCTTGTGCAATCACGTTCTGCAGATGTACAATAAAACAGAAGAAACCTGTGCATGTCCCTGTCTCGTGCACGCACGTGTGTGTTTGTGTGCACTGGCAAACAGGCCAATGTTGTGGCTGTGGTTCACCGCTGAAGCATCTTCTCCAAATAAGAAGAGCCAACGCTGTTTGCAGCATCAGCACAAAGAGCAAGAGTAAGAGAGAGAGAGAGAGAGAGAGACAGGAAACAGACTGAGGCACAAACAAGGCTCAGCACGTCTCCGGTTTTATTTTTTTGCCTGATTCTTGTGCAGTTGCTCGTCTTCTCCAATTTTCCACTGTGCAAACCCAACTGCATGATCTTGTGAGAGGACAAAAGCTTTGGTAAATCCATATCCCTTTGCAAATAACACAGTGACATGTCAAACAGGAAACAGGTTCCATTTAGTTATTAGGGCCTGTAAATTCACTTCAGCGAACCCAGGCCTCAGGATGTACATTTATCCCTCAAAAGCTGACAGGACACGAGACAGACAGCACTCTGACAGCAGTATGTGGGTAAAAAGTCGCTCGCACGTACGCAGGGCGGACCAAAACTCAAAACACGTCTCGCTCACAGAGTCAGCCGTCGCTGAATTCCAAACTCAGCTCCGCTCGTGCTGAATGATTGACCAAAAATTCTTTATTTTCCCTGAGAGGCATCCTGACCTGAGGTTGTCCACGGTCCCAGCAGCTGAGGGAACAAATGATGTCAGACCTGTTGGATTTGACTTTCCAAGTAAAAGAAAAAAACCTCTCTCTGATGGTAAAGGTCAACGCTCTGCACGCAGTGTGTGATGTTTGTCCGACAAGGTGACCTTTGCCCTCTGGTTATTCCAGTGACTGTGTCACAGACCTTTGATAATGGTACATAGCATTTGTTGTTCTATGGCGTCTGACAGTAAATGGTAGATGCTGATAGAAAATGAACATGTTGGCAGTAGTGTGAACCTGAACAAACACCTAAATGTAGGTTTTAGTCAGAAAGATAATCCAAGAATGAACTTAAACTGATGTTTTTGTTGAACAAAGTGCTGTGCACATCGTAGCATTTTTTTATTTTAGCTACTCAAGCTGCCAGACAGGGTTAATATCTACGTATGTGACTGTCTTTGGGCTGAAAGGCTGAAGAGTAAATGTAAAAGAAAAAGTTGAAGCAGACTTTGCCAGAAGGGGGCAGCAAGAACACAGACATTCATTTCAAACATATTCTACCATTAATCCTTTTCAGGGTCACAGGGAGGGTTGGACGCTACAACAGAACAGACTAATCCTGTATGTTTTAGGACTGGATATCAAAGTAAAAAAATACCACCGATGTTCTCACTGTTAGGCAGGAGCAGTGGCCACTCTGCCACCGTGTGGCTCAAATCACAAACCTGTGAACTTGATGTGGAGTTCAGGGAGAACGAGGCGTTAGTCTACGTACTTCAGGTGTTAGGAAAAAAGTTCATCTAGACTTCATTCTCCGAAAACAGACAGACGTCCAACACTGTGAATACACTCACACACACACGCACAGACTCTGACATGTATCAGTGTATGAACACACTCGTGGGTCTGGGGGAGGTTCCTCCAGCTGAGGATAAGGCCCTGCTTGTCAGCAGACCTCCCTGACACCACGCTGTCGCCACAGGGCATGGATGAGTTCCTGTGTGTGTGTGTGTGTGTGTGTGTGTCTTTGTGCATTCACATGCTCTCAGTGAGGGAGATGCCCCATACAAAGCCTCTGACAACGGCTGATTTATGAGTCTGGGTGTTTTGGAGGATGCTTCAACCTCAACCCACAAAATCGAAGTCAAACCCACACACAAACACACACACACACACACCAAGAACATCAGTCCTTTAATTTATGTTTGTGTAATTGTGAGATAAAACAAGCCTTAACAGCGTGATGACTGTTGATACTCACACTGATAACGACGTTAAATCTCACCGTGTCTCCGTCACAAGTTAAAGACTGAGGCTGAGTCTCACGGTGCCTGTGGTGTTGACAGAGAAATCAGCACAGATCAAACCGGAAAACATTACGTACGTCTGAAACAATGTTATAAAGTGAGAGGAAAAAACAGATTTGTTCTGGTTTGACATTATTAACACCTCGTCCTTAAAAAGACCAACCAGGGACAGACCATGTCCTTTTGGTTTTCTTGTCTTTATATGCCTTTTGAATGGACTCCATACTGTTCACAAGGGCCTTGAAATATTTATTTAAAAATACAAATCTTAAGTTAAGAGCTTTTTTTTTTTAAGTAATAAAAATAACACCAAATAATGATTGAACATTTCTAGATGTGAACTGGAAAAAGGCAGTTGATGAATTCAGGCTGAAAATTTTAACTATGTAGACAAAATTTAACAACTTTGTAATGATTGCTTAAACTTGTTTTTGTAATAAAATTTAATTATTTTACGAAGAAACTTGTAATAAAATTTAATTATTTTACGAAAATGTATTTTTTTAAAAAGTACATTATTTTTTTATATTTTTAAAAATCAGCATTTCATGCTGTGGCCTTTTGATGTCGCCAAAGTGCCTCTGTATTTTCTGGTCCTTAAACGAAAAGACAGTGAAAACGTAGTGTAACCGCAGTGAAATGGAAGTTCTTACAAATATAAAATACTCCCATGCAAAAACAAATCCAGGCCAAGGTTCAGTACACACGGTAACATGAGCCGCGTGCGTTGCACAAGACGGCCGACTGACAGGTCGGAGTGTGTTTGAGCTCTCTATCACAGCTCAGACGCTTGCCATATGACCTCTGAACCCTGCCGCCGTCTGAGGGACGTGCCAGGCGTCAGAGGTCATCTGAATTTCCTGAACACAGACGCGGCTGTAGACCAAGAATGATTTAGAGGCAGGGCCGAGTCCTTCACTCTTTTCTTCTCACAAGTACAGGTTCACGGCCTTTCCTTTGAGAACTTCTTTTTTTTTTTTGTTTTACCAGGAAGTGTGTGTGTGTGTGTAAAAAAAAACATTAACATCCCTTGTTAACTTTTCTAGTATGAGTTAAGCTAGCTCAGAGTTACTGATTTGCATTTTACAGCAAAAGCTATGGATATTTAGATATTTACTTTGTTTTTATTATTTAAGGAAAAATGTCAGAAATATTATGAAATATTTGAGAATATATATATACATTGTCAGAAATCAATAACGTAACTTTTTTGCTTTATTAGCGGTTAGCATGTAAAGAAAGATTCACTGGTCTCTAGTTAGTTTTAACCAATAAACTAGTGTATGTTACCAAACAAAGCTTCATTGTTTCTTTACCTTCAGTCACGGCTGTTGGTCTGTGTCTTATTATTAAATCTGCGTCTTGTTATTAAATAGCATTTTCATTAGCCACAGCTTCCAGCCTGTTGACAGACACCTTCTAATTTTCACACATACAGTTCATCCAGGAAAACATCAGGAAGATGAAGTAGCACAGAAACATTATATTTAAAAACCAACAAACACAGACCTGAAATATTTTGTGTGACCTGTAGAGGGCCCCGCACAGGAGATGGACTCATTTGGAGTCTTTTCTATGAAAAATAGGCAAAATTCTCAAGGTCAGTATTAGTTTTTTTTAACACCCATTGAAGGAAAGTGCTTCAGAGATGGAGACATTTGTGTCAACAACACGTCCAATAATATATTCAAGATTGTTCAAGATTCAAACAAACTGTTCCATTCCTCACGTGGACGTTTCGCACCAGCTCAAAGTATCAGTCGGTGTCCGACGACTCCAGGCCAGATGCAACTTTATAAGTGAGGCGGCAGAGGAGTTTGCAAGTCCAGCGGGTTATTTTGGTCCGTCATGTCACATGGTTGAGCTAATGGTTTCTATTTTCACGACACAATACTGCTTCAGTCTCCTCAGTCTGATCTGAAGGAAGAGGGAGAAGGAGAAGGAGAAGGAAGGAGAGAGAGAGAGAGAGGAAAAGAGAGGAGAGAGAAGGGGCAACATATGATCAGCACATGGGGATGTCGTAATTCTGGATTCATTAGCAAGACACACTGAAGGAATCAGGAGGGAAGAGGGGAGGGAGAGTGGAGAGCCCTGAGGAGAAGAGAGGAAGAAGAGGAACAGAGGGAGAAACAGAGAGAGAGAGAGAGAGAGAGAGGGACGGGAGAACGGGAAGTCCAAAAAAAGACAGAGAGAGGGAGAGAGAGAGAGAGAGAGAGAGAGAGAGAGGAGTGAAGGAGCAGACCCTACATGTGGCCGTGGAGGGAGTGATCTGGTTATGGAAGGGGACAAGTTCTCAGGTAAGAACAACTGCTCTCACACCGAGGATCAGCTGAACAGCAAACAAAGACATGGTCAGAGTTGTTGTTTTTTTGACTCTTCTCTCACTGTGATCCAGAGTCTTTTCCTCCACCACAGTCTGCCTCTCTTTTCCCCCTCTTTGGTATTTTCCACTCTCTCATTCTGTCCTGTTTGCTGACTGCATGTTTTCTTTGGGGTTTGGCTTCGGGAGCTGCTGCCCGGAGCTCTGCAGGGTTTGTTCAGCAGCTCACTGGACCTGCTTTGGTTTATCTGCCTGCAGGTTTCTTCTGTCTCTTGTTTGTGTGTCCCCTCCACCCCCTGTCCCCCCGTCCCCCACCACCACCACCAGTACACACACCCCCCTTCACAATCTCATTGTTTCCTGGCAAATGTCTTTGTCTTGAACGTTTTATACCTTCCGTTCCCCACGTTATTATGTTTAGTTTCCATCTGAGAACGTGTGTGTGTGTGTGTGTGTGTGTGTGTGTGTAGCTGATGCTGTGGTCATGTGACACAGAGACCTAGTTTATTTGGAGGACGTTTGTCTCCGTCTCCTCGTCTGCCTTCTCCAATGGTCTGTGGTGTGAAAACAGGAAAGCTCTCTGTTTGAACAGTGCTGCTCTTGTCCCCTGTGGTTCTGACCATCACTCCGTCCCTCCCTGACCATCACTCCGTCCCTCCCTGACCATCACTCCGTCCCTCCCTGCTTAAACCAGGGAGACTCAGCTGACTCCCCGGGGTCGCTCATGCAAATGATTGAAATTATTTTTTTTTTTAAATCTGCCTTTTTGCCCCTCACTGTGGTGATAAAATATCCTGATAGATGATGTGGAAACAGACTGTGTGTGTGTGTGTGTGTGAGGCTGTGCTGTGTACATGATGCTGAAGTCATCAGTGAGGCGACGCTGTCTGCTGATTAATGGTATTTTTATAGGTTGAAGTCAGAGTTGTAAAAAAAAACAAACAAAAAAAAAACAACTCATTGGTTTGAGGAAAAAATGTGCTGAACCATGTGAAGTGGTTACGGCAGTTTTCACACAGAAGGTGTGTGTGTGTGTGTGTGTGTGTGTGTGTGTTTGAGTGCACGTGAACACTTGTTTATGTGCCATATGATATATTATATCCATATTACTGCACGTCGCGACCTAAACAGAGTGTGAAATCTGGATGTGGAATCTTAAGTGTGTGCAGGCCGGTGGGCCTGTCTTTCCCCTCTGGCCTCTGGTTTCCAGGTGCTTCCTCCTGAGAGCTGTAACTGCTTCAGCTGGACACACAGAATGGGAATTCTGTTGGGAACGTTCACTGGGCCGTTTAGCTCTGCTAAATACAAGACTGTTCTCGACTCAAAGCCAGTGACTGTGATCTGTGCAGGTACAGGTGCACGAGGAGCCGTGACACTGGAGATCTGTGCCTTCACTAGAGTTTGAGAAGCTGCTTCTGAAGTAAAGGGTAATACCGGAGTTTTAGGAGACAAACAGAGATGGAAAGACAATGTTCTCCTGCTGGACAATCACGTTTTTTTTTACAACAGAACAATTCTGCACTTTAATCTACTATAACTGCACAACCTGCCTTTGTTGATATGACTGACCTGCCTGCAGTCCAGATGACACCTAATGTCAGTTTCATACATAAATGGAATGCCTGTACGTTGGTGTAGGTTGTTGAGTGACTGACAGCTGGATAAAGAACCACTGGCTTCTAATCAAGTATGTGCTTCACACATGGGAGACAGTGACTTGTTTAATAACGAGACTCAGTGATGACAAACTTGACGTGGACCCAGTAAAACCCTCACATTACACCGTTTTAGCCTCCTAGTGTACAGCCGTGTGTTAAACAGCCGGCACATCCTGGTGTTTCACCTCACGTTGCTTTGAACGATAAACCACCAAATTAATTAAACGTGTGTGCGATCACATCACCGTCTATCGTGTCCAACTGAAATTGTCTCCTGCGTCTCAGTTTGCCACGTGAGTCCCGGTCCTGCCGTGACGATGCCCCGAATGGAAACAGTCCATCAGCCGCAGCCAGGCTGTGGCTAATGGAGCTGACGTGTCCCATTGACTCCAGGCTGAGTGAGTGAGTGAGGTCAGCTGATGATGTTTATCGAAAGTGTGAGCGACACGGCCGCAGGCTGCTGGGTCCCACCTCAGGACCACAGTGTGGTTTCAGTGAGCTCCCTCAAACCTGCTTTGAATTCAGAGATTTGAAATGGAACTGTGGTATACTCTTCAGCCAGCAGGTGGCAATGCTGAGTCGGATAATTCCAGAGCTCCGTAGGAAACAAGTGTTGTTTCAACGCTGTGTCACTGTCACAGCCTGTTTGTTTGGAACAACAAACGGTACAGGTTTAAGGAGAGGAAATATGTGGGGAAGAAAAGAGACGGCGCTTCCTGTTCCTTCCTGGAGAAACTTTACTGCTGTTGTGGCCCAGTTGCCATGGCAGTTCACCGTGCAGAAACATGTGTGTGTGTGTGTGTGTGTGTGTGTGCAAGGAGAAGACGTAACACACAGGGCCGGCGTGCTGACGTCTTGAACGGGGTTATTGTTACCTAGTGGAGAGATGGATGGAGGCTCGGGGGAGGGGGGAGGGGGGGGGGACTCATCTCTGATGGAGGACAGCTGCTCCCTGTGTTTACCAGAACACACACACACACACACGTACACACGACCACATATCACATACACAGTTGCATGTGTGGAGACAGTCGATACACTCACTCACACAAACAGCGAAGAAAAGGACCAATCATGAGCAACAGAGGAGATGGCTAAGTATATACACGAGTGTGTGTGTGATTATATATTCTGTGTGTGTGTGTGTGTTCAGTGGAGCCATATTTCCAACAACAGGTGCTGTATTTGATGAAAGTGAGTGGGGCCTGGCCCAGAGCAGCTGCTGTCACTACAGCTGTGCATCAACTGTAGACGCAGACACTTCTCTACACTGTACGTCTGTGGAGTTAAAACCAAATAAACTCAGGATTTACCACAGCGTATAACACTAAAAAACAATAAGTCAAGTGCAAGTATATTTCATATTTATTAAGTGTAATTAATGAAATATAATTTTACAAAAAATATCCTGAGAATTAAGTGTTTGTGTGTTTCTCTTTATTTTCAAAATGTATCGAACGGGCCGGATTGAACACCCTGGCGTGCCAATTTTGGTCACGGGCCGTATGTTTGACACCCTCTGGTTTTTAACACATGCTTTTGTTACTCTGAGAAAAGGACTCAGTGTGTGTGGCCGCTGTCTTTTTGGATCTGAGTAGGTGATTGTTGTGACTTTTCTGAATCCTGATCAGGTTAATCATGTTGTGATTGCCCCTCCCCTCCCCCCACTCCCCC